AAAAAAAAAATTTCTTTCTGCATTGAATATTGGATTCCATTATGAGATCATGCGTGAATCGAATAAAACATGATTCTTATGTTAATTGCTTTGCCTCTAAGATTTTTGAATTGGATTTCATATTAGTCTCAATCAGAACCAACAAAAAAAAAAAAGTAGCTGCCATTTGCTTCCCTGGAAAAGGAAAAGTTTCAGAAATGTGTGCTGAATTTCGTGTTTTATTCATTGACGCTAATCCATGACGCGATCTAATATATCATAGCTTTTCAATTTTCATGATGTTCGGTAACGTCCTTTTTGTTTTTAATCTGCTTTTACCGATAAGTCTTATCCGATAATGGCTTCCAATGCGCAAAACAATGTGGAGCAGCAACAACCGGCACAGTCACAGAGGATACAAATATACCCTACCACTAACCCTGGAGTTTCCCCCTTTTGGAGAGGTGCTCGATAATAGTTGTTTTGCTCTTAATTCATGGCTACATCAAGTTGATACAAGGTGCAGTTTTATTCGTTTTTATTTTCCTTTAAACCAAACGTTCTGTTTGCAGACAAGTATGAAAGAGATGCTAAGAAGTATTGGGATCAATTCTACAGGCGGCATCAAGATAGAGTAAGTTTCCCCTTGCAGTTTTCTTCAATCATGTTCCGCTCCTATAGCAACCGCTACTGTCACTTTGTTATTACTTTAATGTGCTATTACCATTACTAAGCCCCAGAATTTGGACTGGTAATGAACATGTTGCTGATCGGTAATGTCTAATGCAATGAGAGATATAGTTGCTCAGATGCCAGAGATCAAAACTCTCATGTTACAAAGTTTGGTTTAATCTTGTACTAGCTATGGGTGGTGTGCAAAGCTCCTTTTGGCTCACTTCTAGAAAATTTGCAACTTCAGTAGAACCACAGCTACAAGAATTTTACTCTAATTATTTTTACTGCTTTTTGACGTTCTCCATTTCCTGTTGCTTCAGTTTTTCAAAGATCGGCACTACTTGGACAAGGAGTGGGATCAGTATTTCTCTGTGAGTCATAGATAAGAATTTTCTTATCCATATATTTGATTTTATTATCACATTTTGGTTCCATATTTACTTTTTTTTCTATTTACTCAGGGAAGTGGAAGAAAAGTTATTTTGGAGGTATATCACCTAACATCCTCCTTCACATAAGCAGTATCTACCAACTTTATTCCTGAGTTTAATTCAGCAATAGGTTGTTTATTATTGCCAGCTTATTTGACCATGAACTTGTTAATTGAGTTCGAGTAAATGTGGAATTGTGCTAGCTTTTCTACCTTCTGTATGAGTTCTTATTATATTTCTCTAATTTAGTCTGGTAATTTTAATTGAGATCCCCTTATTGTTACTGGAGAATTTTGTGGCAAATATATATATTTTTTATCTGTGTAGGTTGACCCAGAGTTTGTGATTTTCTTCTTCTACTTGCATTTAGTACTTTGGTTGATAAATTAGTCCCATGATCTTTGCTTCCTCAACTATTTCATTTATATTTTTGGTCACTATTTTCTTTCTTACATAATTATAAACTGTGGTAGCATTTGACCCAACTTTTCCTTATAGTGTGTGTTAAGTAGTGTCTTTGTGGGAAGATTCTCAAATTCTCCTCTTGTAAAGGTGCTATATTTATAGAGTTAATGTGAGTGATCTTGGTAAGCAGGTTGGCTGTGGAGCTGGAAATGCTGTATTCCCTTTGATTGCAACTTACCCAGATGTTTTTGTTCATGCATGTGATTTTTCACCCCGTGCAGTTAATTTGGTTAAGGTTTAGTTTCTTGTTCTCTTACTGCTCCATTATTCATAATTGGAGGTTGAATACCTATTATTTAGAGATCTAGTTTAAATAGTTATTGCAGCATGAATGAATTTGTTTCCCTTATTATTGTAGGCACATAAAGAGTTCACTGAGACTCGTGTCAGTGCTTTTGCCTGTGACCTGACGACTGATGACCTTAGCAAACAGATTTCTCCAGCCTCTGTTGATGTTGTAACCATGGTATTTGAATAATCATTTTGATATATTATTATTTTCTCCTTGTCCGTATGTTTGTGTTTCATTTATGATGTTTATTATACATTAAGCAGCTGACCTTTTAAGTAGATTTTTGTGTTATCTGCAGTATCCCCAGAGAAGATGCCTTCAGTCTTGCAGAACATCAAAAAAGTTCTCAAGGTAAGTAATAACTATATTTGCATCACGGCAATATATCAGGATTTCTTATCTACCTTGCTGATACAAAACTAAACTTGGTACCTTTCTTTTTGCATTTTTTCTCTTTTTCCCTTTCCAGCCAAATGGTTATGTGCTGTTTCGAGACTATGCTGTTGGAGACCTTGCTCAGGTTGATCTATGCGCACTTTTTTAGTAAGATTAATGTGCTGGACTTCTGTTATGATTTCATAGTTTCTTGTAATAATCTGAGAATATATGTTCTGAGTTTTTGGTGCTTTAATTAAGGTCTTTTTGCTGAGCAAAAAAAAAATTTAAGGGCTTGTTTGCCCTTAGCTGATATTTACAATACCAGGAAATTTAGATTTCAGTTTTTGTTCAATTGGAATGGTGGTGTGTGTTTCATTATGCAGGCACATGTATGGATATAAAGGTAATGCTCACCTTACCTACGGGTAAAAATGGTCATTAAGACTAGCTGGTTGCTTCTATTAAGCAAATTCTCTATTGCTTTATAATTTTAAGGGAATGCATTCACTACTATCTACTCTGCAGTCGATGACTGATCTGCAGCTGGTTTTTTTCCTTTAATATACTTGGAGTGCTTTCGTGTATAATGACATGATTTGAACAATAGAAGCATCCTGATTTAGAACACTGATTATTCAAGTGTTTGAAGCAGAACATTATTAAGTTTATATCGTAAGGTATATTTTTCCTTTTTAACTGGATTCTACATTGTTTAAATTGATCCTATCTCTAACCATTTGATGTCTAGTGTAGCTTAGCATGGTGGCTTGTCTGCTTCTGATGTGTATTTTTCCATATATATATACCTTGGTTGACAGGAAAGGTTCTGTGGCAAGGATCAAAAAATCAGTGAAAACTTCTATGTCAGGGGTGATGGCACTGTATGTACCAGTCATGTTATGCATTTATCTTAGTATTTTTGCCTTTCAGTAGGGCAGATGTTTAACAATCTAACACTCTCCTTTTCAGCGTGCTTTCTATTTTTCTAATGAGTTCTTGACAAGCTTGTTTAAAGAACAAGGACTTGATGCTGAAGAACTTGGTTTGTGTTGCAAACAAGTTGAGAATCGAGCACGTGAATTGGTGATGAATCGGTAAATGATCAATGACTTAGCAAGAGAACAAACTTTTTGCCCTCTGGGATGATACTAATTCTGATTTCCAACTTTTGAGTTGCTTCACTTTTCTTGGAAGAACTTTACATTTGCCCTGAAGGAATTGTATTGCCTGTGATTTTAGGCGTTGGGTCCAAGCTGTATTTCGCTATTCAGATTGTGTAAACTCTTTCCCTAGTTCAGAGGCTCCAACTGAGGCTGCTGTGGAGCCTGTTGAAGATGTGGTTGACATGTCTGAAGGTATGACAGTCGAAATGTTTGGAGTTCCAACTACAAATGATAATGAGGTAAAGATTTGAATACTTATTGAACATTGAATATTATATTTATTTCTAAGATAGTTCCATTTCCTTTTTTTTTTATTTGGACAAGAAATGTATCCTTGTTGCTCTTCTTCTGCTTCTTGTATCTTACCTTCATTGCATTCCATATTTCTAAATTATGAATTAAATTTTAACTTGGACTTCTGTGTCATTAGCTGATCTCGACATGCATGCTTCTAATTTTATGTTTACTTCTTCAAAGACATCAAGTTGTTCTCTTCCTATATTTCCCTCAGGTTATTAACATTGAGCTTGAAGGCCGCAATTTCAAGATCAAAGTACTATCCAAAGAGTACCAACACACATGCAAATCAACTGGCTTGATGCTGTGGGAATCAGCTCGTTTGATGGCTGCCATCCTTGCAAGAAATCCAAATATTGTTGCAGGGAAAAGGGTTTTGGAATTGGGGTGCGGCTGTGGAGGCATCTGCTCAATGGTTGCCGTCAGATCTGCAAACACTGTGGTTGCCACGGACGGAGATAGAATAGCACTTGAGTTATTGACCCAAAATATCACATCAAACCTTAGACCACCATTTTTAACTAAACTTATTACAAAGAGACTCGAATGGGGAAATAGAGATGACATCAAAGCCATTAAAGCCTTGAATACTGAAGGCTTTGATCTAATCATAGGAACAGACGTTACTTACATTCCTGAAGCTATTTTACCTTTGTTTTCAACTGCAAGAGATTTGATGTCATCCAACAGAAGTGCTGAGAGGGACGAAGCGCCAGCACTAATTCTCTGTCATATCTTTCGGCGAGTTGACGAGCCATATCTACTTTCAGCTGCATCTCAATTTGGTTTTAGGCTTGTAGACAAGTGGGCAAAGGCAAGTGCAACTGATCAGTCTCAAAGCTTAATCAGCTCTTGGTTTCCAGAGGACAGTTTCAAGGCGCATATCCCTACTTCGGCACTAAATATCATGTATTTCCAAATAGATTGAAAGGCATCTTAATGCTTTAACATTAATGATAGTTTGCCCTAATTTTGCTTTTAAAAAAAAAATACTTCATACGTTTAATCAGAACTGAATTCATTTTTGTAGCTTGGTGTTCTTCATAGTTGTACCATTGTCTCTTCCTGTATCAATCCAGAAGATCATACAAATTGCATTTGCTTAAAACTTGCCCGCCAAATTCTGATATGTAAACGTTCAAACAGTGAAGATGAACTCATTTGTTTCTCAGAAAAGGAAAGCCATTGAAGCAAAGGATCGACAAATTACAGTTCAGACATACAAGAACTTCAACACAGTTTTTGTATTGAAAAAATTAAGCTTGAAAATGTGACAACAAGATCATGAGTAAGACAGATAAAAATTGCACCCCAAAGAGTTGAGAATTGCCTCTTCCCTTCTCCTTATATCCCTCGATTAATCCCAAACTTGGCAGGAATTTTGTGTTCATTTTCAAATGATCATTAACCATAGAGAATCGCAATCTGGGGACCTCAATGGGTCACACCACAAGGAACTTTACTTTATTAGATTTGCTCCACCAAAGAAGAACAAAGATAAAAGAGAGTAAAATAACTAAGAATGGTACAACTTACAAGGAAAAAAGATTACTCGTTTTCCTTTTTTCTGCTGAGCATGCAAAGGAAATTACTAGTATTCTAGGCACCA